GGTGGCAAGGAGGCAAGGAGGCAAGGTGGCAAGGTGGCAAGGAGGCAAGGCGGCAAGGTGGCAAGGAGGCAAGGTGGCAAGGTGGCAAGGTGGCAAGGTGGCAAGGAGGCAAGGAGGCAAGGTGGCAAGGAGGCAAGGTGGCAAGGTGGCAAGGAGGCAAGGTGGCAAGGTGGCAAGGTGGCAAGGTGGCAAGGTGGCAAGGTGGCAAGGTGGCAAGGAGGCAAGGAGGCAAGGAGGCAAGGTGGCAAGGTGGCAAGGAGGCAAGGTGGCAAGGTGGCAAGGAGGCAAGGTGGCAAGGAGGCAAGGTGGCAAGGAGGCAAGGTAGCAAGGTGGCAAGGTGGCAAGGTGGCAAGGTGGCAAGGTGGCAAGGTGGCAAGGAGGCAAGGTGGCAAGGTGGCAAGGTGGCAAGGTGGCAAGGTGGCAAGGAGGCAAGGAGGCAAGGTGGCAAGGAGGCAAGGTGGCAAGGTGGCAAGGAGGCAAGGTGGCAAGGTGGCAAGGTGGCAAGGAGGCAAGGTGGCAAGGAGGCAAGGTGGCAAGGAGGCAAGGTGGCAAGGAGGCAAGGAGGCAAGGTGGCAAGGAGGCAAGGTGGCAAGGAGCCAAGGAGGCAAGGTGGCAAGGAGGCAAGGTGGCAAGGAGGCAAGGTGGCAAGGTGGCAAGGTGGCAAGGTGGCAAGGTGGCAAGGTGGCAAGGAGGCAAGGAGGCAAGGAGGCAAGGTGGCAAGGTGGCAAGGAGGCAAGGTGGCAAGGTGGCAAGGAGGCAAGGTGGCAAGGAGGCAAGGTGGCAAGGTGGCAAGGAGGCAAGGTGGCAAGGAGGCAAGGTGGCAAGGTGGCAAGGTGGCAAGGTGGCAAGGTGGCAAGGTGGCAAGGTGGCAAGGTGGCAAGGAGGCAAGGTGGCAAGGAGGCAAGGTGGCAAGGTGGCAAGGAGGCAAGGTGGCAAGGAGGCAAGGTGGCAAGGTGACAAGGTGGCAAGGTGGCAAGTTGGCAAGGAGGCAAGGTGACAAGGAAAAAAGGTGGCAAGGTGGCAAGGTGGCAAGGAGGCAAGGTGGCAAGGAGGCAAGGTGGCAAGGTGGCAAGGTGGCAAGGTGGCAAGGTGGCAAGGAGGCAAGGTGGCAAGGAGGCAAGGTGGCAAGGTGGCAAGGTGGCAAGGAGGCAAGGTGGCAAGGAGGCAAGGGGGCAAGGTGGCAAGGTGGCAAGGAGGCAAGGTGGCAAGGTGGCAAGGAGGCAAGGTGGCAAGGTGGCAAGGTGGCAAGGTGGCAAGGTGGCAAGGAGGCAAGGAGGCAAGGTGGCAAGGTGGCAAGGTGGCAAGGTGGCAAGGTGGCAAGGTGGCAAGGTGGCAAGGTGGCAAGGTGGCAAGGTGGCAAGGAGGCAAGGAGGCAAGGAGGCAAGGTGGCAAGGTGGCAAGGAGGCAAGGTGGCAAGGTGGCAAGGAGGCAAGGTGGCAAGGAGCCAAGGAGGCAAGGTGGCAAGGAGGCAAGGTGGCAAGGAGGCAAGGTGGCAAGGTGGCAAGGTGGCAAGGTGGCAAGGTGGCAAGGTGGCAAGGTGGCAAGGAGGCAAGGAGGCAAGGAGGCAAGGTGGCAAGGTGGCAAGGAGGCAAGGTGGCAAGGTGGCAAGGAGGCAAGGTGGCAAGGAGGCAAGGGTGGCAAGGTGGCAAGGAGGCAAGGTGGCAAGGAGGCAAGGTGGCAAGGTGGGCAAGGTGGCAAGGTGGCAAGGTGGCAAGGTGGCAAGGTGGCAAGGTGGCAAGGTGGCAAGGGTGGCAAGGAGGCAAGGTGGCAAGGTGGCAAGGAGGCAAGGTGGCAAGGAGGCAAGGTGGCAATGGTGGCAAGGTGGCAAGGTGGCAAGGTGGCAAGGTGGCAAGGAGGCAAGGTGGCAAGGAGGCAAGGTGGCAAGGTGGCAAGGTGGCAAGGAGGCAAAGTGGCAAGGAGGCAAGGTGGCAAGGTGGCAAGGTGGCAAGGTGGCAAGGTGGCAAGGAGGCAAGTGGGCAAGGAGGCAAGGTGGCAAGGTGGCAAGGGTGGCAAGGTGGCAAGGTGGCAAGGTGGCAAGGAGGCAAGGAGGCAAGGAGGCAAGGTGGCAAGGTGGCAAGGAGGCAAGGTGGCAAGGTGGCAAGGAGGCAAGGTGGCAAGGAGGCAAGGTGGCAAGGTGGCAAGGAGGCAAGGTGGCAAGGAGGCAAGGTGGCAAGGTGGCAAGGTGGCAAGGTGGCAAGGTGGCAAGGTGGCAAGGAGGCAAGGTGGCAAGGAGGCAAGGTGGCAAGGTGGCAAGGAGGCAAGGTGGCAAGGAGGCAAGGTGGCAAGGTGGCAAGGTGGCAAGGTGGCAAGGTGGCAAGGTGGCAAGGAGGCAAGGTGGCAAGGAGGCAAGGTGGCAAGGAGGCAAGGAGGCAAGGTGGCAAGGAGGCAAGGAGGCAAGGTGGCAAGGTGGCAAGGTGGCAAGGTGGCAAGGAGGCAAGGAGGCAAGGTGGCAAGGAGGCAAGGTGGCAAGGTGGCAAGGAGGCAAGGTGGCAAGGTGGCAAGGTGGCAAGGTGGCAAGGTGGCAAGGTGGCAAGGAGGCAAGGAGGCAAGGAGGCAAGGAGGCAAGGTGGGCAAGGAGGCAAGGTGGCAAGGAGGCAAGGAGGCAAGGTGGCAAGGTGGCAAGGAGGCAAGGTGGCAAGGAGGCAAGGTGGCAAGGTGCAAGGTGGCAAGGTGGCAAGGTGGCAAGGTGGCAAGGTGGCAAGGAGGCAAGGTGGCAAGGTGGCAAGGTGGCAAGGTGGCAAGGTGGCAAGGTGGCAAGGAGGCAAGGAGGCAAGGAGGCAAGGTGGCAAGGTGGCAAGGAGGCAAGGTGGCATGGTGGCAAGGAGGCAAGGTGGCAAGGAGGCAAGGTGGCAAGGAGGCAAGGTGGCAAGGTGGCAAGGTGGCAAGGTGGCAAGGTGGCAAGGTGGCAAGGTGGCAAGGTGGCAAGGTGGCAAGGAGGCAAGGTGGCAAGGTGGCAAGGAGGCAAGGTGGCAAGGAGGCAAGGTGGCAAGGTGGCAAGGTGGCAAGGTGGCAAGGTGGCAAGGTGGCAAGGAGGCAAGGTGGCAAGGAGGCAAGGTGGCAAGGTGGCAAGGTGGCAAGGAGGCAAAGTGGCAAGGAGGCAAGGTGGCAAGGTGGCAAGGTGGCAAGGTGGCAAGGTGGCAAGGTGGCAAGGAGGCAAGGTGGCAAGGAGGCAAGGTGGCAAGGTGGCAAGGTGGCAAGGTGGCAAGGTGGCAAGGTGGCAAGGAGGCAAGGAGGCAAGGAGGCAAGGTGGCAAGGTGGCAAGGAGGCAAGGTGGCAAGGTGGCAAGGAGGCAAGGTGGCAAGGAGGCAAGGTGGCAAGGTGGCAAGGAGGCAAGGTGGCAAGGAGGCAAGGTGGCAAGGTGGCAAGGTGGCAAGGTGGCAAGGTGGCAAGGTGGCAAGGAGGCAAGGTGGCAAGGAGGCAAGGTGGCAAGGTGGCAAGGAGGCAAGGTGCAAGGTGGCAAGGAGGCAAGGAGGCAAGGAGGCAAGGTGGCAAGGTGGCAAGGAGGCAAGGTGGCAAGGTGGCAAGGAGGAAAGGTGGCAAGGAGCCAAGGAGGCAAGGTGGCAAGGAGGCAAGGTGGCAAGGAGGCAAGGAGGCAAGGTGCAAGTGGCAAGGTGGCAAGGTGGCAAGGTGGCAAGGTGGCAAGGAGGCAAGGAGGCAAGGAGGCAAGGTGGCAAGGTGCAAGGAGGCAAGGTGGCAAGGTGGCAAGGAGGCAAGGTGGCAAGGAGGCAAGGTGGCAGGTGGCAAGGAGGCAAGGTGGCAAGGAGGCAAGGTGGCAAGGTGGCAAGGTGGCAAGGAGGCAAGGTGGCAAGGTGGCAAGGTGGTAAGGTGGCAAGGTGGCAAGGAGGCAAGGTGGCAAGGAGGCAAGGTTGGCAATGGTGGCAAGGAGGCAAGGTGGCAAGGAGGCAAGGTGGCAAGGTGGCAAGGTGGCAAGGTGGCAAGGTGGCAAGGTGGCAAGGAGGCAAGGTGGCAAGGAGGCAAGGTGCAAGGTGGCAAGGTGGCAAGGAGGCAAGGTGGCAAGGAGGCAAGGTGGCAAGGTGGCAAGGTGGCAAGGTGGCAAGGTGGCAAGGAGGCAAGGTGGCAAGGCAAGGTGGCAAGGTGGGTGGCAAGGAGGCAAGGTGGCAAGGGGCAAGGTGGCAAGGAGGCAAGGTGGCAAGGTGGCAAGGAGCAAGGTGGCAAGGTGGCAAGGAGGCAAGGTGGCAAGGAGGCAAGGTGGCAAGGTGGCAGGTGGCAAGGAGGCAAGGTGGCAAGGAGGCAAGGTGGCAAGGTGGCAAGGTGCAAGGTGGCAAGGTGGCAAGGACGGCAAGGTGGCAAGGAGGCAAGGTGGCAAGGTGGCAAGGTGGCAAGGAGGCAAGGTGGCAAGGAGGCAAGGTGGCAAGGTGGCAAGGTGGCAAGGTGGCAAGGTGGCAAGGAGGCAAGGTGGCAAGGAGGCAAGGTGGCAAGGTGGCAAGGTGGCAAGGAGGCAAGGTGGCAAGGAGGCCCAAGGAGGCAAGGTGGCAAGGTGGCAAGGAGGCAAGGTGGCAAGGTGCAAGGAGGCAAGAGGCAAGGTGGCAAGGTGGCAAGGTGGCAAGGTGGCAAGGAGGCAAGGTGGCAAGGTGGCAAGGTGGCAAGGTGGCAAGGAGGCAAGGTGCAAGGTGCAAGGTGGCAAGGTGGCAAGGTGGCAAGGAGGCAAGGTGGCAAGGTAGGCAAGGTGGCAAGGATGGCAAGGTGGCAAGGAGGCAAGGTGGCAAGGTGGCAAGGTGGCAAGGAGGCAGGTGGCAAGGTGGCAAGGTGGCAAGGTGGCAAGGTGGCAAGGTGGCAAGGTGGCAAGGTGGCAAGGTGGCAAGGAGGCAAGGTGGCAAGGAGGCAAGGTGGCAAGGTGGCAAGGTGGCAAGGAGGCAAGGTGGCAAGGTGGCAAGGTGGCAAGGTGGCAAGGTACGCACCAGCCTCGCAGGAAAGAGAAGCGAATTTGGGGATGAGAGGAAAAACTCGCAAGGACGAGTGGAACAACACGTTCAGAGGACATGTTGATCGGATACAATAGAAAAAAGATTAAGAAGCTGTTGATCATAAAGAAGCATAACCCGAGGCACAACAGCCCTTACAGTGGCTCACGACAATGGCACCACCCACCTGGCCACATCACCCACCTGGCCACATCACCCACCTGGCCACATCACCCACCTGGCCACATCACCCACCTGGCCACATCACCCACCTGGCCATATCACCCACCTGGCCACATCACCCACCTGGCCACATCACCCACCTGGCCACATCACCCACCTGGCCACATCACCCACCTGGCCACATCACCCACCTGGCCACATCACCCACCTGGCCACATCACCCACCTGGCCACATCACCCACCTGGCCACATCACCCACCTGGCCATATCACCCACCTGGCCACATCACCCACCTGGCCATATCACCCACCTGGCCACATCACCCACCGGCCACATCACCCACCTGGCCACATCACCCACCTGGCCACATCACCCACCTGGCCACATCACCCACCTGGCCACATCACCCACCTGGCCATATCACCCACCTGGCCACATCACCCACCTGGCCACATCACCCACCTGGCCACATCACCCACCTGGCCACATCACCCACCTGGCCATATCACCCACCTGGCCACATCACCCACCTGGCCATATCACCCACCTGGCCACATCACCCACCTGGCCACATCACCCACCTGGCCACATCACCCACCTGGCCACATCACCCACCTGGCCACATCACCCACCTGGCCACATCACCCACCTGGCCACATCACCCACCTGGCCACATCACCCACCTGGCCATATCACCCACCTGGCCACATCACCCACCTGGCCACATCACCCACCTGGCCATATCACCCACCTGGCCACATCACCCACCTGGCCACATCACCCACCTGGCCACATCACCCACCTGGTCACATCACCCACCTGCACGCATCACCATCACCCACCTGGGCCTCGGGAAGTTTTTCTTCAGATTGGGGACTTGCGGCTTCACGGCTTCGCCCACCGGCACGCCCTGGCAGGCTGCGTTCTTGAAGAACGTGACCTTGGTGCACACCGCTTGTCGCCTCCCTTTGCTGTTGCTCTGCCACGGCGCTCCCCGCCACAACACTTCCACGCCCTGGCTCGCCTCGCTGAGAGACGCCTGGGCAGAAGGCTCAAGGGTGACGCACGTGGCTGGGGCGTCAAAGCTGACGAGGCGGTGAGCTGGCACCACGTTGACCTGCGTGGCCACCTGCACCTTTGCCTTCACTGCCCCGCCCGTGCTGTCTCCCCCCATCCCAACCCCCACCCCAACTCCCGCTGGCATCTCGGCATTCCCATTTTCCACGGCCATAAATGTATTAGATCTGCTCAGCCATGAATGTATTAAATCTTCTCAGCCATGAATGTATTAAATCTGCTCAGCCATGAATGTATTAAATCTGCTCTTCAATTGGAGGCTCCTCCTCGCAGTCACAGTGCTGCTCGCTCCGCCCACTCGCATGCGCGCCGCGTTCAGGCGATCCGCGCCGCGCTCGCCTGCCGCCACGTGAGCCGTGGCGACCGCTGGACGCAGAGAGAGCAGAGGGGCGAGAGAGAGCAGAGGGGCCAGAGAGAGCAGAGGGGCGAGGGGGTTAGAGCGTGCACGTTTCTGAAGCTTGAGAAAACGCGGCAGCCGAAGCAGAGAGACAATGATATTAACGACTCACCGGAGGTGACGCCAAGGACAAGTAACGGACGTCTAAAAGAGACGTTTTGAAACGTCTAAAAGATTTGAGACGTCTCAAAACTAGAACGGACTCACCGCAGATGGCGGTAAGGACGAGGAAAGGAAGCAGCGCGGGAGGGGAAGCGGCCATGATTATCAGCGGGTCCGACTGCCGCGTCAGCTGGGTGCGCGCACAACCGAGTGACTGGAGCCTCCGGCGACAAGCGACAAACTCTCGGGGGACGCGGTATATAGCTGATACAGGTATAGATAGTCGGTGGTATGACTCATGGCGCTACTACTAAGATATGGCAGACGCGGCAGAAGTGTTGAGTCCATGGCTGATCTAGCAGGTGACTTATAAACGAGATTCGGACGCTCCCAGTGGGAGAGCCCACCGCTCGACGCTCGCAGTTCCGATAGGAGCGCTAAGGAACGCGATCGCGTGTGGCTGGAACGGGTCACAGCACAATCGTCGGTCTTCGCGCTGGAAATGGGGTTGGTGTTGAGAATGAAGCGAGGAATGCGGCGGCAGTGCGAACGCCGAGGAATGTGTTCATCTGTGCTGGAAATGGGGTTGGTGTTGAAAATGAAGCGAGGAATGCGGCGGCAGTGTGAACACCGAGGAATGCGTTCATCTGTGCTGGAAATGGGGTTGGTGTTTGTTCATCAGTGTGTGAACCTGGCTGATGAACCGCGATGGGGCTTGGCTGCCCATAAAAGTCTGGCGACTGGGATGGGAGGGAGGGAATTCTGCTTTGGGCAGCCATCTTGTGCGAGTAGCGAATGTGTTCGAGGAATAAAACTGTGCGGGCAGAATCAAATCTGCAACAATGCAGCTTCTTGTTCTGTAATTGGCTTCCGTGACAAGAAGATCCTGTGTTTGTGGCATGGGACAGGTCACAGTGCGTACAAGCGATCCAACGAAAACATTCCGCGAAAGAAGTGCGACATGTCGCAGCTCGCAAGTTCTGCTCATCGCGATCAGCATGGGAGGTTGTTTCCCTTTGGAAGGACGTTTTTATGAACGTCTAAATACCGTATGTTAATAGAGAACAAAGTAGCACACCTCGCAAGTCGCGCCTCTTGATGCCTCACGACGGATCTTCGTGAGCAGCCTCGCGCTGACAGATAAATAGCTATGACTGTTAGAGGGCCCTACGACAGCAAGGGCCCTCGACGACCGTTTGACTTGGCAGGTCGACTATGAAAGACCAAGACGAGCAGTCCAGCACCGACCCTATGATTTGGCGATGGTTGCGTAGTGACGCGATGTGACAACGGCAGCACTAAACAGTCATTGCTGGGGTGGTGTTAGTCTAGGGAAATCGTGGGCATGCTTCTTGGGTGGTCTTGGTGGTTGTGGGTGATTCTCTGTGAGTCTCGCCATTTCTAGTTGTGCTGGGAGAATTGGCGAGCTCGGCATTGACTTCCCTGCTGAGTTGGGTTGGGAAGTTGACGAGGCGCGTTCGCTCACCCACACACCACTTTCGTGGGGTTGGGTTACTGCGCAGTGCCACGCCAACTTTGTGAAACCTTCCCGTAGCCTATATCTAGTTGTGTGTTTGCTTTTGTATTCATAATTGATATTGCAATTCTACTTGGCCCAAATGCTACTTCAATCCTCACTAAGTCCTTAGAGGCAAACTGTACCGAAACTCTACCAAGTTGCTGGCGCAACATCATTCTCATAGCAGAAACTCTCTCGTTATCGCTACGCTCTCTAATATATGCCATCATGGTGCGGTGAGCGTGGAACGAACACGCATAGATTTTCGTCGTCGTTGATATCCGCGTTCGTATACTCGCCTTGGCGTGCGGCGTTAGTGAAGGGCGCTTATTAATTTAAGTTGAACCTCTCTTGATTTCCCTCCAGTTACATTCTCGGACCCAAGGATAGGGCGCTTGGTAATTTATTACCATTCGTCTGAGGACCCTTGTGAGGTGACCCCGAGACGAGGGATTCAAGGAAGGGACAATTTATTTTAATTTGTGGTACCTTATAGAGACGTCGTAGAGGATGAGTACGGAGGAGGCGAACGTGGAGGCCGGTAATTTGCGCGCCCTAGAGGAGGATCTCGTGGCTCGACATTCTCGTGGTGAGATTAGTGATGTCGAATACGAGTTAATGTTGGAGGGATTGCGCTCGCGTCGGTGTCGTGAGCACCCTTCGCCACGTGTAGAGAATGTTGAGCAAGCTGCGGGAGGTACTAGTGCGTGGGATATGGCTGTCGATGGCGGAAATAGCGATGACGAGGAGCTTGATGGGTTGATGTCGCGTGGGGTCCTGCGAGGACCAACTCGGTTTAGTACGGCTAGCGTCGGCGGTGTACAGGAGCGTGTTCATCGTGCAGCAGCGTCACGAGAGCATGCGAATGTAGGACGGCGGAGCGTTGCTGGAGGAGGAAATGCGGAAGAGTACGATAGTGAGGCTATGCCGGGCGTTACCCCGATTGGATCGATGTCGAGGGACGAGGGAATAGCCCCCAACTATGGCTACTTCAGATTCACTCCAGACAAGATCGTTGTCCCTAGGCCGTTAGAAGGACGTCACGACCTGTCGACGTGGACAGAATCAATCGAGCCGCAGCTTGAGATCGCTCAGCTAAAACGATTCATAGATGGCACCACCCCCATTCCACCTGCGCGTGCACTTGCGCATCTCTCCCAGTTCCGCGCGATGCAGTTGCTGACGTTCACCACCATTTCCCGATGCTGCTCCCCAACCGTACAGATCGCCCTTAAGGCGTGTCGCATGAGGGTAGATGCCGACTATCAGGCATGGCAGTTTATTATGCGCACGTACATGGCGAAGGACGATCTGTACATCGGTCAGTTAGAGCAGGCGCTCACTAACCTCGAGATGGGAGAGCACGAGTCCGCCACGTCATATTGCAACCGTGCGCAGCAGATCCTAGTGAACATGAGGATGGCCGGCGTAGATTACTCGCAGGCGTCGTACATCACTCACGTTGTGAAGGGGTTGACGCAGCAGTACAAACTCTTACGCAGGATGCTGAAATTGCCGCAGGTGCGCAAGGAGTTGGACAAAGACACCCTCGCTAGCTACATCATCGAGGAGGAGTGTACGCTGGCAGCAGAGGGACGAAAGGACCAATTCCTTCCCCAGGCTAACCAGGTCTTTACCAAGAAGGGTAAGCCCCAATTCCAGCAGACTTCATTCCCTTCCCCTCCCACTACGGCACAGCAGCAGCAGCCTAAGAATGGGGGTGGGGCTGGTGGGGGAGGGGAGAAGTGGAAAGGGGGTAAAGGATGGCCAGCCGAAGGGGGGGAAAGGGGGCTTCAAGGGAAAGTGCTATGTGTGTGGACAGACAGGGCATGTTGCTAAGTACTGTCAGCAGCGGGCGGATAAGGAGGCAGACGCTAGTGGAGAGGGTTCTGGAGGTAGCAGCGGAAAGGGGGGTGAGGGCTCTAAGGGGAGCGGGCAGTCATCATGTGCGATGGTGAAGCCCGTTGTGGAGCAGACTCCTCTCGTTGTGCTGGAGCCTGAAGCCGGAGAAGGCTTACAGGCTGTTGCAGCTGCTGTAAAGGCGAACCCGAGTGTCGTGCTACTTGATAGCGGATGCTCCCACCATCTCATGGGAGATCGTTCTGCCTTTGTGGAGATGAGCAGCGGCGGCAGTATTAAACAGGTTACCGGCTTCAACGACGCCCTTCAGGAGGTGCAGGGGCGAGGCACAGTCACTCTTCTTGGAGAGGGGGGCAGGCGTGTCTTGGTGCCGGACGTGCTGTACGTACCAAGAGTGCAGGCGAGTCTTCTCTCTGCTGGGCAGCTGCGTGATAGTGGTGTGCAGCTGCTGGATGCCGGGGATGTGACTTTGCTGCGGGCACCAGATGGATCGCTCCTTGGTCGTGCGGAGTTCAAGGGGCGTGTTCTCTGCACGAACTTCCAGCCGTGTTTGACGCAGCAGCAGGAAGGCGAAACGGTGGCACTTCGTACCTTGGCGACGGGCGTGCGGTCTAAGGGGGGCCTGTGGCATGCGCGTATGGCACACGTTGGTATTGATGCCATCGAGCGCACAGCGGCTCACGGGTCAGTGAAGGGCTTGGATTTGGAGAAGGGGGGCAAGTCAGGCATACCTTGTGTCTCCTGTGTTGGGGAAAGATCACTCGTCATACCTTTCCTTCTGTGGGAGAGGAGGAGGATGAGTTGCTCGGGGGTGGTGCATGCTGACCTGTGTGGCCCTTTCCGTGAAGCAGCTAAGGACGGCAGCCGCTACTTCTTGGTGCTGAAGGATCGCAAGACGCGATATGTCTGGGCCTACCCTTTGGCCCAGAAGAGTGATGCGCTGGCGGCGTTCCAGAAGTGGCTCCCGATGGCAGAGCGACAGTGCAAGACCACGGTGCAGGCGCTGCGCACTGATCGGGGTGGCGAGTTCCTGGGGCACGACTTCATGCTCTTCCTCGACGGCAAAGGCATCATCCATGACCTCACATGCCCATACACGCCGGAGCAGAATGGGATGGCCGAGAGGGAGATGCGCAGCATTGTGGAGGCGGTGCGGGCGATGTTGCTGCACATGGGTGTGCAGCATCACTGGTGGCACCTGGCGTTGGCGCAGGCCGTCTGGGTGCACAACCGCGTGGAGCACGCCTCACTACCCTCTGGTGTGACGCCGTACGAGCTCGCCTTCCGACGCAAACCTGATGTC